GGCACATGGGTAGCAGTGTAAGGGGCCTGCAGAATCCAACCAGGGACGGCGGTCAGGGGCTGAGCCTGGAGGAAGCACAAGCCATCATCCACCAGGAAGGGCCTGTCTCTAGTTTGCTGAGAGCCTTTATTGACAATGGATGTTCCCTAATGCTTTTTTTTAATTTTGTTCAGGTGCATGCACCCATCAGAGAAAGACACAGGGAGAGAAAGAGAAGGAAAGTGAGGAAGCACCTCCCACGGGAGGGCGGTCATGCTGCAGTCCCTTTGTGTGGGCATACATACCTACACATACTAGCATGTTTTTCAAGCCACTGGGTCTGGGACTTGAGCCACACAGTTGGCCATGTGGGATCCAGGCTCCTTAACCACCACACCACTAGCTGACGCATCCCAAATGCTTTTTCACATCTATTGAAATGGTTGTATCATTTCCCTTCCTTAGTTTGTTAATAGGAAGAGTTATATTTGTTGGCTCTTGGGAACCAGCAGATGGCATGGTGGTTAAGGTGCTGGACACTCCCACATGGCTGACCACAGTTCAAGTCCCAGACCTGGTGGCTTGCTTTCTCACTTTCTCTCTCTCTCTCTTTCTCTCTGTCTCTATCTCTGTCTCTTTCAGGTCAAATTAAAAAATAAATGAATAAGAGTTGTGTTTGTTGGTTTTCTAATTATTATTTCCTCTGAGAGAGAAGAGATACACAGACAGCTCCCCTATCAGGGTCCTCACCCCATGTGCACCTCTAGCCAGCCTGAGCCAGGGACACTCACCAGACTCAGAGGCACACAGGGAGGACCCAGGTGCAAACCGGACCCTCTGCAGTGGGTCCAGCGGGGCCTAGCTGACTCCCACATGTGTGGATTTTCTAATGTCAAGCCTCTGTGTTCCTCAGATAAACCACACACTGTCCATTTACACACTGCTAGAAGCACATGCTACGAAATGTTAAGTTTATTTCTTCCATGAGAGAAAGTGAGGCAGAGACAGAGAGGAAACAAGTACCACTAGCAGGATCTTCGTGCTGGACCCACCCACCGCCCCACCGGCCGGATCACAGGTAGGCTCACATGTGCCTAGCATGAACGGGGAAGTCCCAGGGCACACACCTGGCACATGGGTCCAGCACTGCATACAACGATGTCCCACTACACCAACAGGTCCCAGCATGTCCTACCACATTGCTTAAAATGTTTTCTTTTTCCAGGGGGCGAGAGGGGGCAGTGGTGCAGCAGTAAGACATGACTGATGCTCCTCAAGGCAGCCCACATGGCAAGGTTGCCAGTTCAAGTCCAAGGCCCTCTCTGAAAATGCCAGGCGTGTGTGTGTGTGTCTGTGTGTGTGTGTGTGTGTGTGTGTGTGTGTCTGTGTGTTTGTGTGTATACCCATGATCTGGCACTGGCTGGAGGCAGGGGGTGGGTGGCAGTGTTGGGACCTGTTGAGGGTGCTGTCTCTCACTCATAGAAGAAATAAATGAACTTTTCAAACATTTGCATCTATGTTCAGGAAAGATTCTGTTCTGTACTATTGATATTTTTGTTTTAGGGTTTTTTCTTTTGTTTCTCATAATCTTTCTGTCCAGTTTTGGTAGTAGGATAATATGGACCTCACAGACTGACTTAGGAAGTATTCCTTTTTCAAGAAATTATTTATTCATCCATTTATTTTAATTTTAATTTATTTAAATTATTTATTCATCCATTTATTTAATTTTTTAATTTGACCAGAGAAAGACACAGAGAGAAAGAGAGAAAGTGAGAAAGCAAGCCACCAGATCCAGGATTTGAACCATGGTCGACCACGTGGGAGTGTCCAGCACCTTAACCACCACACTACCTGCTGGTCCTAGGAAGTATTCCTTCTTCTCCGAGTTTATATAGATTTCACATTACTTCTCCCTAAGTGTTTGCTGGAGTGCATGAGTAAAGCTATCGGAACCTGAAATTTTCTCTGCTGGAAAGTGCTAATGGACAATTCTATCTCCTTAGTGGAAAATGATGAGCTATTCAAGTTATCTATTTTGCCCTGTGAGTAAGCTTTGCTATTCTAGGTCTCTTAAGGACTACGTCCACTCCATCTCGTTTCCAATGTACTATCACAAAGCTGTTCAGAGTACGTACTGTTATCCTTTCAACATCTGTAACACCCGGTGATCCGCCTCTCTCATTCCTTCCACTGACAGTGTGTGTTTTGTCTCACTCATCAATCTGGCTGGAAGTTAATAAACTGCACTGCTTTTTCTCAAAAAAACAAGCTCGTGGTTGCTTCTATACTGGGTTTTTGTTTCCTATTTCATTGATTCTGCTTGAATCTTCACTATTTCTTTACTACTTACATTGAGTTTAGCTTTCACAGCTGTCCTCATTTCTTTTTTTTTTTTTTTTTGGAGAGATTTTCACTGTAGGGCGCGTGTGCTCGCCAGACAGACAGAGAGAGACAAAGAGACAGAAAGCGAGAAATCACCCCCCAGGGGGGATGGTCATGCCGCAATCCCTTCTCCTCCAGTCTCCTCTCGGGATCTTGGGCACGCACGCACACGCGCCCGGAGTGAGTTTTAAGCCACCAGGTCCGAGACGCGAACCGCTGTCGACTACGTGGGAGTCCAGCGACATAGCCATTACGCTAACCGCTGGTTCCCGCTGTCCTCATTTCTTAAAGCCAAAGCACAGCCCCTGGCTGTCCTGGGAGGTGCCCACAAATGAAGCTATGGCCCTATGTCCCACTCGCTGAGATCCTGAACGACCACCTGTGGTCACCAAGGGTGGGCATGGACCAGCAAGCTCTCCAAAGCCAAGGGGCACACACAGCCTAGGGGAGGGCCTCGCCCCGGCCTCCTGGCAAATTCGGTTTTGTTAGGGTCTCGCAATTGCTCTCCAGCAAGCTGTAAGCAGGTGTGGCATGTTTGCAGAGCTGTACTGCAGATGGAGAGAAAGGGGAACCTGCCTAGCTCCTGCTGACACACGGCCACGGCGGCCTGCTCCAGAGCTGGCTCCCCGACTGGCTGGGGG